CGTTATTTGGAACTATTGAAACTTGGTTCTTTCAGTTACCTTCGTTACAACAAATCGACATGGCGAACAACAGCTTTACACTCGTCAAGATCTCAAATGTTGTTAATTTGAACAGCGACCTTGTCGCCGTCGATTTGGGTTTCAACAAAATCGAAGGATATTTACCGGTAAATTTCGCGATTTTCCCTCGATTGTCGTCGTTGACATTGAGGTATAACAAGTTCCGGGGACCGATTCCGTTGCAGTATAGCAAAAAGGCGACGTTGAAAAGGTTGTATCTTGACGGTAATTTCTTGAATGGATCACCGCCGGCGGGATTTTTCGGCCGGGAAACTTCAGTTACCGGCAGTTTAGGAGATAATTGTTTACAAAAATGTCCGATTTCTTCGCAACTTTGCTTGAAATCACAGAAATCTACGTCGATTTGTCAGCAAGCTTATGGTGGGAAACCAAAGTCTTAGTTGTGTCAGTCAATGTTTCTGAGATTATTTTTTTTTCATCTTGGTTTTCATATTGTATTTGTAGGACTATTATATTATATTATTTAGATAAGAAATAACCCAATATAATATTTGCTCATCTGAATTATGCCCCTATGTATAGAGTATAATGTATATTCATACTAGAAAATTATTGATATCTTATTATAATAATCTCAATCTAATTTGTGAAACTATTTGAAGTTATTTATGTTCGTAGTTTGACAGTCTTAAATATAGGGACTTATTGTTTAAAGAATGATAAAAAGTTTCAAATTGATAATTAATGAGATAAGTGAATTCGTTATAAAGTTCGGATAATTTTTTTTACTTTAAGCTAGGCTAAAATTGAATTTAATATGGTATTAAAACAAGGTCTGGATTATAATTATAAGTGATAACTATTAACTTATTATTATTATAATTTTCTAGGGACATTGTTGGAGAGCATGAACCGAAATTTGAAACGAAGATAGCAGAGAGTATATTTGGATAATTTGATTTAATATCAAAATTAAACGTCTGATTTTTTTCTTTATTGCTTCAAATTTGATGTATCTATTTTTTTTTTCTTAATGCAATTAATACTTTTATTATTCAACTGTTAAAAGGCATCATTTGGCTCACTTCTCCACAATTAAATACCTTTTCCCCACAAAAGTTAAAACTTTCCCTCAACTTTCAAACTTACACTCATGTTATAAAAAAATAAAAAATATTTTCAAACTTTAACCCTAATACTAATCCCTATGGCAAATCAAAGAACATCTGTTATGTGCATCGTTATATTCTTTCAATATATAAATTACTAGTAAAAAAACAAATATAATCCTTTTTCGTTTTTAAAATGACTTAAATCATTTTGCAAAGAAAATATATTTATTATTCGATTAAACACTATTTAGACTGGAAAGAGTATATTATATGCCACGTCTAAGTCAATGTAAGCTGCTAGTTTTGTTTTAAATAGGTACTAATAAGTATTAAACATTAACTTAATTTAATTTGTCATTTTGTCGAAAGTACATAAAGTTATTTAATTGTTGGACTGAATATTCTCTTAGCTTGAACAGAAAGGGTATCTATGTTAGGTCATTTAATTTCCAGCTGCGAGTTCGATAACCTAAAAATATTGGTCTAATTAAGCAGTTTGTCATTGTTTATAAACCCAATTAGATTGCGTATCAACAAATCCATTAAGAAATGTTTGTTCCAATATTTTATAGACAGGTGGACTGGAACGGCTTCGTCCGATATTAGCTGATTATTATATTAAAAATATTTCTTAAATTAAGAAAATATTAATTACTTTTTTTATATTGTCCTTGCAATTAATTCATTTTTAAACTGATCAAATTTGATTGTTTCCAAGAAGTTTTTAAGGGGTGAATTTAGTAAAATTGTCTTTTTATTTATAACTTCTTAAACATCTCAAAAAAAAAAATTAAAAAATGATCAACTAATATGAAATTGATGGAGTATATATTATCTAAAAAGCTATTCATTTTGTCCCATCTTTCTAAAAATATTTGTTTCAAATTACTTGATCACTTACTAAATCAAGATAAATTTATTATTTTTCCCATTTTATTCCTATAAGTAATATCATCATCATGCTTAATGTTCCCATAATTTCTCTTTGATATAAAATAAAGTTCTTAGAATTTATATTTTTCAAGAGTTCATTACATACTTAATTACTCCTTTGTACTCATGCTCTCGCTCATTCTCGAGTACCTATACCTTTTATATGCCCTATGTCATTTTAAATTATTTTGATATTTATCAGTGTGGATAAAGGGTAATTAGTTAAATTGATCATTTAATTTTTGAGTTCTAAAGAATCGTGTAAAATAAAAATGACCAATTATAATTATTATGGGATGGAGGAAGTATTAACGTGTTTGGGCAAGAATGAGAGTTTTTGCCAAAAATCATCGGTGAAGTATGACTTAATCCTAAATTACATCACTGTGTTATATAAATGGAAAAAAAAACATTCTTGTACTATCTATCAAGTTGCAAGATGCATCATTCTTTCAAAAATTTTTGCGATAAGTGTCAAAAACACATCTAAATTATTCACTTTTTTTGAGTTGCATACCTAAACGACTAAACTATCAAGAGTGTGATTTTCATAATTTAAAATAGGCCAGCGAATTATACACTTGCGCATTATATATTGCAGTGAAATAGACTAGTGAATTATACAATTGCGCATTATACAATTGCAGTGAAATAGGCCAACGAATTATACAATTGCAGCGAAATAGGCCAGTGAATCATACAATTGTATATGTGTAGCGAGGCCAGCGAATTATACAATTTAGGTCAGCGAATTATGCAGTTATATATGTATAGCAAATTATACAGTTATATGTTTGCTATGGAGCGCATCTATGCAAACTTTGTTATAGCATACAAATATAAATTTTTCGTTTGTTATATATGAAAGTTGCCCTAAAATATTTTACCTAGATAAAAATTAAATAATAAAATATTAATATTAACTACAAAATTAAAGATTAAAATTTTACTATCCACATAAAAAATTAAATTATTTTTCTTACCCTACTCCTCCACCCCCCCCCCCCCGCCCGACAACCCCCATCCTTTTTCTAAAGAAACGTCATTTATAAAATATTTCATAATTCATCCTCCCCTCCCCCTTAAAAAAAAAATAAAAATAAAACCACCCATTCACCCCCCCCTCCCCCCCCCCCCAACAACCCCATCCTTTTTTTTTAGAAACGTCATTTATAAAATATTTTTTAAAAATTTCATACTTCATCCTCCCCCCCCCCCCCCCTTTAAAAAAAACCATTCATCCCCCCCCCCCCCTCCCGGGCATAAAAATTGATATTATTTTATTTTTAAAAAATAAAAATCTACCCCATCCTATTTAATCCTTCACTCTTATTTTTTTTTTACGTTTTTCTCATTTTGTGTTAGATATACATGTACATGAATATTAATTATTATTGGTATATAATATTTTTCAAGGGTACATTCGATGATTTCCAAAAATGAAATATTTTGATTGTGGTTTTTTAATTACTATGATTATATTATATATCGTGAATTTATATAATTCACAAATTTATCAAGAAGTTTAGCTATTATTATTATTATTATTATTATTATTATTATTATTATTATTATCATCATCATCATCTTATATTTATATGTTCTCTAAAAAAATATATAATTTTTTTTAAAAGGTTGTTCATATTTGGTTGATGGATGAGAGTAAGCATGCTTTAATTTTATCTCACATTGTGAGATAACTTATTTCATTATTTAAACTAAAATGGCGAGGTAGGATAATTTTGGGAGTAAATAATACTTTATTTGTCCCAATTTATGTGATGTTATTTATTTCGTATGGAGCTTAAATAAAAACTTTTGAAATTTGTTGTCTAAAGCAAGTCATAAATACTTGTGCGACTATAAATCATCTTATTTAGGATTAAATGATTTTTAAAAAAATTTAAATTATTGCTAATATAAGAATATATTATTTTTTTAGATTAATTATCACAAAAATTGAGACACAACCAATATAAAATAACATTTATTAAATTATAGTTTCAACAAACATAAAAATCATATTAATGCTCTATAATTACAGTTTTACTATAGAGCATCATATTTGAATAAAATCACAGACAACATCTGATTGTATAAAGGCATATGATTTGTACAGATTACGTCGAATTTGTATGAGTAGGGTTTCTATGTCTATGAAGATTGCGTTTGTATATGTATATGTTATCTCTGTTTTTATATTTGCATAAAATTTAAATTCGTATACAATTGAATCGAATTAAAATAACTTTATTTGTATATCAATTCTCTCCATAGTTTTATACAAACAGAATTTATACATTGTATTTTGTGTAATTTGTGTTTGTATAAAGTGAGAAAGTGAGAAAGAGATAAAGGCAAAAAAGAACTAGACAAGGAAAGATTTGTTTTTTTTTTATAATTATAAATGTACAGGACGAAAAGCTATATATTTGTATGTAGAGTTCTCTCTCGCTATTTACAAACACAATTTATACATTAGTGTTTGTATAAAGTGAGAGAGGCGAGGGAGATTCTGAAAGAGTGGCGAGCGAGATTCAAGAAAGAGACGAATGTATTTGTATATACAGTTTTCTCCCATTTTATACAAATACAAACACAATTATTATATTTATATTTGTATAAAGTGAGAAAGCCGAGAAAGAGTGGCAACAAGATTTCCGAAGAAAGAAGCGAATGGTAAAATGTTTACCACGAATTAAAATAAAATAATATTATAATAATAATATTTATTTTAAATTAATAATTTTATTTACTATTTTATAAATTTCTTCCAACAATATGAAGTTTAGTTTTTCATCCTCGTAAGCCCACTGAACTCTTGTATGGACTTACACAGCCCAATACGAAAGGAGCCGAATAAACTGATGACACGTGTCAGATAATTCCCCCTGTTTACGTTGAAGAAAAATATCAGAAAGAGTAGTAGATTGTAGAAAGATAGAAATTGAACGGTCTAGTTTTCATAATTCCCCAAAATCACCCGCCAGACATGGCTGTTGTTCAAATTTCCAGTTCTCTCTGCACTTCAATTCGTGGTAATTCTATTCACAATTTCTTCCTTTTTTTTTGTTTCTAAAAACTGAAAGGATTAACAAAAACTAATTTAATGTTTCTGCAGATGTTGTTGTGTCAAACCCAGTATCCATTTCTTCTATTAAGGGCTCTACTCGTACTCAATTTGGGACTACTTTTGCAACTGGTTCTCCACTCTGTAAGCCTACTTTTCCTCTTTTTGTTGAATAATCGATTCAGTGTCGGATTCAGGATTTTCATATTTGTTTCGTATAATTCTGCTCTTTGTTTTATTCTATCTAACAGGCAATTTTATGATGATATTTATACTATTTAGGTCTAATTCTACTATAAATGCAGCATATATTGTCATTTCCTTTATTTACCCATGGAGCTACCCCTTCTATCAGGACTTTTTGTGAATTTCATGTGCTTTTAAAAGAAGAGGACTGGAAATTAGCATGTGAGGGATGTCTTTAAGTAGTGAATGTAACACAAATTCTATCATGACATGAAGATTGTGGAACTTATGAGACTCTCACAACTATGTGTAAAAACAAATCGTTCATCAGTAAACACATACCTGACTCAAATATGTATGATTTTTGTGTGGGTAATCAACACTTATATCTTTACATTACAGTTATTCAAGAAACAAAACTCGTTTTTCTCCCTCGCTTGCCTTGTTCTTTCAGTTGACATTTGTGGAGAACATTGTTCTTCCTTAAGGTAGAGAGTGGACTAGTTTCCGTGGAAGTCTTTTGTATCGTGTTCCATCATATGAGAAGTTACTTACCAATTTAATTAGAGAGGTCGCTCTAGCTCTGATCAAATGGATTTTGGCCTCAATATTTGTTTCAATTAATTACAACGTAATGAACAAACAGAGAAGAGCAGTTTGTCACATCGGTCACACCTTAATAGCACGCTGGGAAGAATGTAGATTACCGTTGTTCTTGGTATTTGAGCCTAATTCTTGTATATTTTTTCTTTTCCTTTATACATACTGAATGGTGGTGTAGATTGGCGGGGTGGTTTATACATGCTATGCAGATTATGAGCAATTACAGTATATTTTAAATTTGCACGTCCCTGTGCTATTGGTTCGGAACTGATCCATTGTATTTACAGTGATCAGGAACAGTTTCTCTCAGATAAAAGCTACGCCAAGTAGGGCAGCATCACTTTCTGTACGATGTGAGCAGAGTACCAAGGACGGAAGTAATTTGGATGTATGGCTTGGTCGATCTGCCATGGTTGGTTTTGCAGCTGCTATTAGTGTAGAAATAGCTACAGGCAAAGGACTTCTGGAGGTAGGGCATTTACTCTCATTATTGTATAACAGATTGGATTCATAACATGTCTTTCGGTAGAACATGTTAAAGCGTATCTGTTACTCTGATATATGAGATCTTATACCAAATAAACTTGTCCTAATCTCAGATATCTGTAGATTGGAACCCCACTTAACATGATGTTCGATATACCAATTGTTTCTCGTTCTATTCATCCAAGTTGGAAAAAAAGGAAAAAGAAAAAGCTTCCCTCGTGCATCTACATTTATTGTACTGTCATGTTGCGTAAATTAAAAGAACAATAACCAACCACCACCGCAATGGTAACTGAGTTCAGCAGACACCACATGGGTTTGAGGTGATTTTGAATGTTCAGTAGTTTGTGTATTATCTGTATATTGGACTTTCTTTTATCTATCCACCTAGTGAGATTTCACTGGATAGTTATTGTCATAAACATTATGATTTTAACCATCATATAACTGTTTGATGAGCAACTACATGAATTTCTAGTTAAACTTGATTCTATTTTTTCAGAATTTCGGGGTCTCAGGGCCCATACCTACAGTAGCATTGGCAGTCACTGCATTGGTGGGCGTTTTGACCGCTGTCTTCATCTTCCAGTCTGCTTCAAAGAACTGATTATTTCCTTTTCTCTTCTTGTTTATGTATTGAAAGAGTGATATTGATACATCCTTATTCATCTAAACAAATTCTGTCAATTTGTCAATAGAAACTTTATTTACTGCTGAATTTTCCCTTCCTTAAACCTTGTAAAAATCTGTTTACAGTTTATTAGCAAGAGTAGATGCTATAGTTCATCCCAGGATACATCATCAACAGTAATTGTTTCATATATCAAATGTACAAAAACATTATGCGACTCCACTCCTTCCTATATGCCCAAGCTTTGGTGTGCAAGGTTATCATACAGGAGGTACTAGGTAGCAGGTATCTATGAAATAGTTCGCGTACACAAGCTAGCCTAGATATTATTGTTATTTAATAAAGAAAAACTCCCGTATCGAAATTCATGGAAAAGAAGTACATATCGATTCTTTGTTTGTGTTAGCTTTTTGAGAAAATCTTTTAGAAAAGTGCCTTTGCTCACTTTGCATATTATAATTCGATTCCTTTACTTTACAAAGATATTAATCGCTATCTTTTAGAATTAGTTTATTTTAAGTATACTAAGATCATATACAAATAAAATATTTTAATTTGCGAAAGCCCAAAAGAGAGAAAAGGAAGGGCAACGATGGAGCCTTGATTACTCAAGTAGTGAATTGATGTGATCAACCCATCTTTTTGACCATTAAAGGTAATAAATATTCCAACAGCTCAATTTAAGCTACTCTTTTTTTGCTTTTTTCACTAACGGTACTTAACAACAAAGAAATCTCACAACAGAAAACTCAGGAAGAAAATGAACATCTCCTATAAAAGAAGACATAAAAGTAAAAATAAGTTTATAAATGACTACAAAATCAAATTTCTTGAATATCTCATCATAAAAAGCAATCATATAAACAAATAATTTAAGTTTGGCGACGAATAAGTGATTAACCTGCTATCTAAGACGGATAGACATATTCAAGACTAATTTGAACTTGGAATCAAAACTCTAGTCCTTTTAATTTTTTGGTTGCTCCATTAATAGTATAGTTATATTTTTTTATAAGAAAATAATTTGAACTTAATTAATTCCACAATTTAATACAAGATTTTAAATCAAAACTATTAAGTTCGATTAAATATATAAGAACGCTCTGCTTCGTAGACAAGGCTCGTTCCGTACTTTACTTACGAGCTCGTGTAGTGGAACACTTATATATCTAATATCAGAACTCTAAAGCAAACTTCGAATACCGAGGAAAAAACAAAACTCTACTATTATTATTGAAAAACTCATATAAATACACTCTTAGATCAATTTGTCGAACTTACAAACACTTTCATCAATTACAACACAAGGGTTCTTCTCTTCTTTATGTAGCAAAAATCTTTGTAAAGTCAAAAGAAGAACAAATTAAAGAGAACTAAACAGCTCTTTATAGCTTTTCTTGGTCCCAACATAATGATTAGTAATGTGAATAACCTGGTACTTTATCAAGCACATGAAGGGCATCTTTCATTGTAGGCCTTTTTTGTGGATTCAATGATGCACAACTAAAACCTAACTTAAACAATGACACCGTGGTCTCTTCCCTGCTCTCCACGTCAGCTCTAATCGCCACGTCAGCCATCCTTAAAACCCGGTCCATGTCATCCGATACTGAACTGGTGGTCCACTGGCTCAACTCCCGGTCCGAGAATACTTTCCCGGTTAAAAGCTCGAGCAACACAATCCCAAATGAGTAAACATCCCATTTAGGACTAGGTTTTAGACTCTCCAATGACTCCGGGGCGTGGTAGGGGGATGTGCACCCTACCACGAACCCGGCTGGGGCAATGTAAGGACTTCCATGAACCGGTTGATCATTTAAACCGTCTCGGGAGGCGGATGTGGACCGCTTGCTACCGAAATGCCGGCCCGAATTATCCGGTTTGGAGGTGTTTTTACCATGCATTAGCCCATGAAGCCCAATGTCACTTATTATGGGCTCCATATCAGGTGTTAAGAGAATGTTACTTGGTTTAATATTGCCATGTACTTGTCTCTTCTCGTGGATGTAGGTCAATCCTCTTGCAATTCCTTTTGCTATCTTGAGCCGAACTTCGTATGATAAATGGTAAGGAGAGGAACCAACCTTTCCTGAAAAATTTAAACAATAACAATATACTCAGTATAGTCGCTTGAAAAAATCAAAGTCTCTTAGAACGTTTGTGGTACTACAATATTGTTGAGATGGGGTGCACATGTATTTTGACGTATCATATGTATTGTAGTATAGTTTGGTGACTTTCACGGATTATGACAATGTCACATGGAGGACCATTGGGAGCCTCAAAACACAACCACATATGAAGTATAGTTTCTGCATAATCAGTAACGAAAATCCATGCCTAAGATAGTGTACTTACAAAAGGAGTCGTTTGGTAGTTGGTTTAGACGCAGATATCAAATTCTGCATAAGTAATATCCAAATGAAATGATACCAATTTCTATCTGATTAGTACATGCATAACTCTAACCAGCTACGAGACGACCCCACAATACAGTATTTATTGTTACCACTAAACTATAGTCTTTAATGTTTATGTTAAGTGATAAATCAGGGAATGTTGCTGCAGTAACATGAAATGACAAGTACACTTGACTAATCAAGAATATTTTGGGGTAATTATGATAAGGTCAGAAATTGATATATAAAAACTATAACTGTGATAAAGATAATGAAGATGAAAAAAAAGTAACTTACTGTAACCAATATTGGCTAAGCTTCCATTAGTAACATAATCATATATGACTAATTTCTCATCATCTCCCCAATAGAATCCTCTAACACGAACAAGATTTGGATGCCTCAGCTTGCTAATTCCTTTAATTTGTTGCTCAAAATCCTTCAATTTATCAACACCACTCTCTCCAATTCTCCTAACAGCAAATGCACTTCCATCTTCTAACACAGCTTTGTAAACTATGCTAGCTCCACTTGACCCCAAAATATAAGCTGATGCTTTAAGCAAAGTCTCTAGCTCTAATTCTGTTTCACCATCCACCATTACAAATGACCTCTCTGTTTTCTTGTTCTTCTCATTCTTTTGTTCTGTTTCATAATCAGTTTGGTCTTCACTTTCTTGATTTTTGCTGTCATCAGTATCTGAACTTTCTTGATTTATGGTCAAGCATGGCCAACTAGGAAAAATGGTGTCTTTTTCTTTTACAACAAGTATTGATGGTTCTGGTGTTCTGTTGTATTTTTGATCTTTGTCAATTGAGCTTTCTATGGTTGCCTCACTTGCTTTATTCTTCTTTTTCAATTTGTAGACATAAAGAAAGACAACAGCAAGAACACCAACACCAGCTAAGTCACCAACTATGATTCCCATTATGGTACCTGGCTTTAGCCCATGTTGTTGTTGATTTTGAGCTGCAGTTTGTGTTGTTCCATCAGAATCTTGAAGTGGGGTTGAGTTAATTTCTTTTGGAATGGCTGCAATTGCTGGAGGATTAGTGGTTATATTAGGTGGAGATGAAAGTGTTGAAGGGATTGTACAGAGTTTCTTGAGTGGTTTGCCACAAAGATCTGTATTTCCTGCAAAGAATTCTGTTTTTTGGTTTGATAAAGCTAACGACTCTGGGATTTCACCTGTAAAGCTGTTGAATGAAAGATCAATTGTAGCATTCGTTGGTATTTTCTTGGCAAATTGTGGTGACACTAAACCAGATAACTTATTTGATGAAAAGTTCAAGTATTTCAAACTATCACCACCAAAATCATCAGGCAAAGTTCCATTCAACAAGTTAGAAGAAAGATCCAACACTTCAACAAACTGAAATCCACTTGGTATTGCACCAGAAAACAGGTTTTTACTCAAAGAAACAGCTTTTAGATTCTTCAAAGAACTTAGCTTTTGTGGGATACTTCCAACAAATGCATTGACAGAAAGATTTAGAACCTTTAAGCTCTTTAACCCTCCAATAGACTCAGTAAGCTCACCAGAAATATCATTGTTTGACAATGAAACAACTTGAAGTTCAGAAGCATTGAGAAGTGAAAGGGGTAGTGTTCCATTCAAGAAATTATTTGAAAGATCAATAGTATGAAGATGTTGAATAAAGCCTAATTCTTGTGGAACAGAACCAATAAGCTTAGAATTTGGGAGTACTAAACTAATGACCCTAAACATGTCAGGTGCACAAGTTACACCATTCCATAAACATGGGGTTGCATCATTATAGTCCCAATTATCAAGAACTGATAAAGGGTCATCAAGAATAGAGTATTTGAAAGACAACAAGAGAGTTCCATCTATGTTGAGACCAAATGAAGGACATAAAAGAAGAAAGAAAAAGACCCCAAATGACCAGAAAGTATAGTAATGCTCTGAGATAGTCATCATATCTTGAAGTGATTATTCATGATTACTTTCTATATACATAAGAAGTAAGAGGAAGAGGTAAACCAACTACTAGAGAAGTTGTTTTGGTGACCAAAAAGGCAGCAAAAGATGGAGAAGTGTTGAGGCAAAAAAAAAAGCGAAGTGTTGTGGTTCACTCTGCTACATAAATGAAATGATATTGATATATAGGAGTAGTAGTAAAAGGGTACTTGAGTAAGTATGGGAAAACAAAGTGAATGGCTATTATTGTACTACTTTGTTTCTGTCCTCATTCTGTTCTCAATTTAACTTATGTATATACTCATTCCGTAAAATCATGAATCATTCTTAGTATTTTTAAATTTCGTGTCAAGTAAAATTAAGTTATTTTTTAGTGAATTGAAATAGTCATATATTTTATTTTATATTATATAGAAAAAGAAAAAAATGAGGGAATCTTTATGGTTTTGGTAGAAGACGTTAGCAAAAAAAAAGAGGTGTAATTAAAGTCCACCTCCTATTGACTTTTTTCCCTACTCCATTTTCATGTTTCCAATGCTACCTTCTTTTCAAGTTTTCCTTATGAGTGAGCATATATATATAGAAATCAATAATTTAAGGCGTAATACATGACTCTATATTTTTAATTTAATTTTCGGTTTGATATATATATTCTAATTTTAATTATGTATAAATAACTTATAAAATTAAATGTGCAATTACTAGAGTAATAGCTACATAATTCAGTAATTTGCTTATCATAACGTAATTATTATATATTCCAGTGTCATGTTTGGTAACATAATTATGATTACATAATTTCACATCCTTTTATTTAAATAAAATCTAATATTTTCATATAAATTTTATATAAGATTTAATCTTGTGATTTTTATCTTATAAAAGTGAGATGATAGATTATTGCACTAGCTTTTATGAGATGACAATGAGTCACGGAGATAAACTTTATTTATAGTTGTGTTACAATCAACAGTAAAAAGCATAATGAAAAAAAAATATGGTAAAATTTGTACACATTGGCCCTTGCTTTTGTTTTTTTTACTAATATTTAGCTCTTTAAAAAGGTAGTCTATTCAGAAATGACATGAATTCACCGACATGTTCTTAAAATGGGTCCATTAAAAAAAAAATCAAAGTAAATTTAATAAAAGAAAGGTAAAAATTTATTTTATCAAAGTTATTGGTTTTGGTGTCTAATCCTCAACTACTCTACTTCGATAATACCAAAACAATTACTCACTTCGTTCAAAATTATTTGTCCTGTTACGCATATTAAAAATTAATTTAAATAATTTTTAAAGATAATTAGATTACATTAATTCGATATTTTAAATAAAAAAAAGATTTATAAAACTACATGAAAAATACTATAAATTGTAATTTTTACATATTAATATGATTAAAAATATATCTTAAAATATTAGTCAAAATTTGTATAGTTTAACTCTAAAAATATAAACTATGACAAATAAATCCGAACAGAGGGAGTAATTGTTTTGGTATTATCAAAGTAGAGTAGTTGATTAAAATATACTTAACAAAATATGTTATTACTAAATCATTTGAATTTTAAACATAGGTCAATAAAACAAATGGCTAATGGCTAATTTACTTTTCAATTGTTTGTCAAAATATAGCATCTAAATTACTAAAAAACTATTTGAATTTTAAACATATGTTATAATTATAATAATACAAGTGAGTAATGGCTAATATACTTTAAAATGTTTGTCTTATTTCTTAAATTGGTCAATACCACCAGTTCCATACCAACAAAAACACTAAACTACATGGTCCTATTAATATTATTATACTTAATTAATTAAAAGTCTATGTTTAGCTTAGTAGAACTTGTTATGGTAATGTTCTGTTAGATTTTATTCTTATGTAATTTAGTGAAACATTGAAATTCTTTTAAGTTATTATTTTAATCCAATAAAGAAGACTCCAGTATATAAAACAAATCATTTTTTGAATTGAATTCACTCCTCAACTAGATGCCAAAAAGAAAATGAACATTAAATTTGAATCTAATTGACATTTTGATTAGTCTTTACCTAGTTGTGGATTACAATCAATTTTGAGTTTTTGACCCTTTTAGCATTAATAAAACAAAATATCTATTCAACTACCCAAAATATATATTATGTTTTATATGTATTGACAGTATAAAAAATATTTATGCTGTCAGTCAGTATGTCTTAACTTGTATTAGTACCTGGTCGCGAACGGCTATTCGTAATTATTATTTTCTTCTTTTCTAAATGGTAATACTTTTGTATTTATCGGTGGTGTATATGCTTATTGCTTATTTTGTTGACTTTATAGCTATTCCTGATAGAAAGTTGCATTCATACTATATCTCAGGAGAATATTTTTTGTTTTATTTTAATATTAGTCGGTATCATTAATTTATTATTTATCAAACTAAAATATTAAACTGCATGATCTGTTAGATTTTATTTGTTCTGATTTTTTATTATAAATAGTTTTTTTTAAGAAAAAATTTTTTTGAATTAACTAATCATTTTTCTGGTAAGGAAAAGTTTAGGACTCTATAAATAGAGAAATGTTCTTCTAACTTAATCACTATTCACAATGTAGTCTTACAACTTTGAGAGTTTTGGTTAGGGGAGAATTTATGGGTCACAAGTTTGATACGCTATCACTTGTGTGAACCTTCCATGTATTCCGAGTGAATTGGTTGAGGTTGTTTCCCTCTGTATTTTGTATTCTCATATTTATAATGGATTGCTCATCTCCTTTGTGGACGTAGGTCGATTGATTGATCCACGTTAAATCATTGTATCTTTTGGTATATATCTCGCTGTTTTCTTACTCGTGATTTTTCAAGGTTTGCTTTACTAGCTTCCGCATTTACACCTACTTATTTTCGATCCTAACATGCTCCTATTATTATTTATTATTTTCAAAATTTGAAGTCTATATTTAGCTTAAATTACCGACATGGCAGACTTAACGTTGTGTTTGGCATACTAGACCATTTTCACGGTTTACTTTGTTATTCTTATGTAATTTTCTGAAACATTGGAATTCGATCATTAAAATTATATATTCAGAGCAAAGGTTGTTCAATAATAAATCCAATATATAAAACAATCAATTTGAAGTTTGAATTCAAACATAAACCAGAAGATCAACGAGGATACTTTTTATTATTAACTAAACATCTAAATATGAATTAAGATATAGGTTTAATATTGGCTCATAATTTTTAATCTTATATAAATATCATTTGATATTCGATAATAAACTATAAATCTTAGACCTTGGTTTAGTATTTTTTTAAAAAAAGATGTTTAGTTGCTTAGAATGTGATCTTATATTCTTCTTAAATTTTGTTCAAGAAAACCTCTAATCCTAAGCTAAAAAATTCATAATTTACAAAAAAGTGATAATTAATGATCATTTAAGTCCATAAGACAGCTAAATTAACCAAGCTGCTTTAGTAGTGATATAAATCTAGTTCACTTTTTCCATGTGACCGAATAAAATATGGCAGAGAGAGAATAATAATATCTTTTTTATGTTTGATAGTTAAATTTGAGATATCTAATATAAAAAAATTATATTATACTATAATGTTCTATCAAATATTAATTTATGTCATGTTTAAAATAAAAAAAGTTAATACAAGAGTATAAAATATATATAGGATATCCATTTTCTCTGTATGTTGTACAAGAAAAGTACGTACACTTTTTTACTAGTAAATTTTAACAAAACCATCTCTACAAAATGGGTTGCAAGGTGTAATTAATGTTTTTATTAGTAAAAAGATAAGAGGAAAATCGTGAACATAATCTTTTGATAATTTTGTATAAAAATAAATTGAAAAAATTATGTTTTATTTTGAGATTTTTATGTGTAAATGAAAAATATTTATAAAAAATATATTGGTGTATAAATAAAATTATTTATTAAAAATAAATTTATAATCTTCTGAAAAACAGTATGGAGCTTTATTCTCCTAAAACATTGCGTTTGTAGCTACTGAGTAATTTTCGAACAAAACTAGCTATGCAAACTTTACTCTTGCCGGCGGTTCGCCCCGGCATCGGAAGTGCGCCATCAGTTCATCCAGCGGCCGGAAAACCATGGCGGAGCAGTTTCCTCCGATGCCCAAATACCCTAATTCCGTCCACCTCATCGTTACCTTTTTCCCCTTTGAAAACAGATCCTCTTAGTTCGCCTCTATTCAGACTCATCAGCAAAAAGAACAGAATCTTGGCTTCTGCTCCTGTTTCTTCACCCTTCACTTCCCCAAATGAAGAGTCCGAAAAAGCTAAGTTAGCTCAGGTACTTCCTATTTCTGCAGTAATTCCAGTTCCCTTTTGTAGCATTTGCAAAATGTGTACCTAATTGTTAAGGATTACCTTTCGGGTTGTGTTAAGAGTATTTTAGCTTTGTGAACTGAATTGGGTAACTGGGAGTGCTAATGGATATGTACTATTTCAATTGCTGCTTTTAGGGTTTTCTTTAGTGTATGAAAAATTAATGAATGCTGTAAAAATGCTAAATTTTTTCATTTAATGTAGTGTTTCATTAAGGAGCTTTGAACTATTCTGCTTTTTTTGGGTGTGAAGTAAAAATAGCTTTAATTGGATCCATTGTAGGTTTTGAAAGAATGGGTTTGGGTTCCTAGTTGGGATTTCACTGTTTTGAAATGGCCAAACTAGTCGTGCTGCATTTTATATTGTTTGATTGGTGCATTTGAGTTGGTAGAAATTTTTGAGAACCCCTTTAGAGTCGTATTATTGAGCATTGGAATGACACTGTTCCAAATTGTATGAAATGGAAATTTATGATTCATGTATCCAATCTAGACTAGTTTGGAATTGAGGCTTAATAATGTTGTATTTGTCTTTGAGTTAGAGACATTGATTGGGCTTTGCTCAAACATTTAGGTTGCCAAAAGACTACTGAATACTGCAAGTTACTTCAAGAGATTGGGTACTCTAGGATTTTGGGGACAGCTTGTATGTACGCTTGTTGCTGCGGTGATCCTCTCGTTTTCCATAGCAATTACGGGGAGAATTACGTCGCCCTTCACATTCTACTCAACTGCGGGCGGAATTGCAGCTGCTTTCATTTCAGTTTTTTGGTCATTTGGCTATCTTCGTTTGTCTGAAAAGCTTCGGAAGACAGCTAATGACCCTTCAAAGGTAACACCCCAGATTTTTCTCAAATTGCTTTTTGAAATAGACTACAGTATGTTGGACTCTCATCCAATCAATATGCAAAAGTGAGAGATTCTTATTAACTTGATGCAAATGACTTGTAATTTTTGGTATAATAGTAATAGGAGTATTTATTACATGGATGTCACCTGAGATGGTGCTTCTTCATCCATCCAGCTGAATAAATGTACCATTTGTGAGCCAGATGATGTTTGAAGTTCCTGGTGCTAGTAGAAGTTAATGATTCACGTAATCCAATTTTTGCTTCTGCTTTTCCTCAAATTTCCTGATGCTTTTCCTTAAGTTGCTACATTCATCCCTTTGAAGATGCACGAAATATATTGGGATATTGACGAACAAAAAGTTTCATGGAGTTGCTCTGGAATATTTGGTGTTTCCAGAGACATTACCTTCTTTACTGGTAAGAGTGCAACAGCGTATGATGTGGATTATGTGCATGTCAGAAATTCGAACCCTGTTCTGTACAAAAGCTAATTATTTTTATGGGGAAGGATAAAAGGAAAGGGGTGGGGTTTTCATTATCCATTGAGTTTCGAGTTATGCACTATTGGCCCTTGGGGAATTCCCGCTATAAAAAAAAGTTCATAGGTTCCAGTTTTGTGGTAATTTCAATTAAAGCTACAGTTTCTGTTCGCCTTCTTTATGGGGTTGGGGACTCGGGGTAATGTGGATCAAGGTGGAATTTCTTGAACAAGATTTGCTAGAATTTTTGAAGTAGCTTATGAATTCCCTTATTTTAGCTGTTCTTCTGCTAGGTCCTAGGTTATTTGTATCTTGTAACATCTGAAGTGTATCTCAAATGATTTGGTGGAGCTGTTTCACTGACTGCTATTATTGTAGGCTCCTCCTCGTGCTGATGTTGTGAAAAGCTTGCAAAATGGTATTGTGGTGAACCTTCTGGGACTGGGTGCCGCTATACTTGGCATGCAAGCAACTGTAGGTACATTGGTGGCTAAGGCTCTTACCACATCAACTAATCCTTACCAGACTTTGACTCCCGGGAGCAGCCCTGTGCTTGCTTTGGATGTATTTCTGGTTCAGGTATGCCATTAAATTGTTCAACTTTTACCATTTGGTATCCTTTGTTAATGTATTAAAACACATTTCATATATTAATCGGTGATTGAAACTGACAGAACAACAAAGAGGAACAATTTGCTTTATGAGGGGTAGAGAAATGGTTTTGGGGGTTCATTCACTTTGAAAAACTGGCTATTACCTGAATTATCTCATACATATTACATAGACAAGTACTTCTAGGATATTTTATTTGGGGGTGCCATGCCACCTCTTGCCCTTCATCCCTTTGGAAGAGAAGAAGTTACATTTGGTGATCTAACTCTATTTTCTTCTCTTCCCCTCTCCACTATCCAATCATTTTGATGTCTATTGAAAAAACTTCAAGGGTTCTTATTTTTTTTCACGACTAGGACTACTGTATGGAATTCGTGTATGGGGTCAAGCCGGGAGAACCATGTTGGTTCCTTTTCATCTCTTGATCTTCATGCATGTGAACTCTAATGCCAGTGTCATGGCGCATTTTCGACGTGTTCAATGAGCTCAAGAGTTGCTAATCTCTGCTGTCTTACATGTTATCTTTACAGGCATCAGCAAATACGATCGTTTCACACTTTCTAGGTCTAGTATTTTCACTGGAGCTGTTGCGGTCAGTCACCTTACCAACTACAGACAGCATTCCGGTTCCAAGGATTGCATGACGTGCTTGGAAAATCAACATCATAATACTCGAGAAAGCTTCAGCCATATGCTTTTGAGATCACAGCCATGTATTTACTGTAATATGAGTGACCCTCTCTCCTTGGTGACTTGAATTAAAATAATTTTTGTTTCTCCAATATCTGAGAGGCTTCTGATAAAAATTTCAATTACTGTCATTGTATTTGCTTTCTGGGGCATCTTTAAGAAAGGGGGGAATTGTTTCCCACCAGTTAAAGACTCCTCTCACAATCCTAACGCCCTCTTTAGCTGTGTTAGTCTACTAGGAAATAAGTATCGACCTCTTTCTTTTCGTGCATGTTTTTCTTCTCTGCAGTTTGTTCCTTTTTCTTGTTTTAAGTCTGTTTAATTCTTTGGAGTAAGACAAGTATGACATTTCTCAACATTTTAAAAGGAGTTGAAGATTTAGAATAGATTTGGAAAAATCCTGGTCTTAAACATTTTAGTGTCAACCATATCCTGAACTCTTGAAATTGGCAAGACGATTGCTCAAACAAGATTTAAAACACATTAATCAATACATACTGATGAATGTTGTCCCCTGCCCTTTGTGATTACAGTAAATTACATCCAATGCACACAAGAATGAGTAAAACCCAAGTTCTCAGGAAGACTGTCCTGGTCCATGATATTTCTCTCCTGTAAAATAAATATGCATCCACATAGTCAGACAATGGGATAAGAAAGTAAAAATGAAGCCAATCTACATCTGGCATGAAATCTGAAAATCAGCAATAAAGGTTTTGATAGGAATTTTATCCAGCAATGGACGTAAAGTGTAACAGCTAGGAGCACAGCCAATGGATTAGATGGTGCGGAAGTCACCTTTTCAGCTCAATGTGAGTTTTCTAGTTGGATTTGCTCCCCAATCATCGTTCAATGAGAATGGGTAACAGGCTCGTGGAATTGAGGTCAGAAGCAAGGATGCTTTATATATCTGGGAGCAAACTCCGGGCGGATATGAAGGGCATGCATACAAGTTATGCCTTAGATTCCAGATAAACTTTGGCGGTAGTGAGATGGAAACTGGAGATTCCAGTGGCAAACAGGTGATATGCTACTTAAGGTTCAAAGATTCAAATAGCTTATTACCATATACCTGCTTATTTTGATGTTCTATCTTCTCAGATTTGTAATGTGATATTATAAGGAACACATTTTCCAGACTTCAATTCTACATGTTTATATGTCATCCACCCTTGCCTCTTTAAAGCATCTCAAGAGTACCAAAAGAATAAGCAAGTACCATCACATAATTCACCATACGTTAATCGCTTAAAGCTACAAGATAACTTGTCCAAACGAAGTGTACCAGCATCTAGATACTTAACGTATAAATTTAACCATCTTATCATTTTAGAAGACTATCATTTCAAATTGGGTCATAAATCAAGCAAAAATTAAGGAACTACCCCATGTCATCTTGAATCAAGGGACACATTTTTTAAGGATCTCTCACACTAATATCTTACTATATTAAAGAAAAAAAGGAGGAATCATCTTGAAAGAAATGAATTAAGAATAAATGAGAAGATCAATCCGGCTTACATACGTCAAGAACAATTATAACAAACCACACGTACATTATTGGTTAATTACTCGAAAAATGTCTCTTACCGTCATTGAACATCTAGCAATCAAGCACCTGCTTGAGGAGACCTGATCTGTTGTCCCAATTCCTCATCAGCCTTTTTAAGAAACTCATCCCAACCACTACCTGGACTAGTATCCAGGTAATCATAAGGAACAGCAGTTTTCAAACCAGGACGAACCCCACACTGGCTTTCTACAAGTCTAAACTCCAAGTGATCTCCCTCTTTATTCGAATTAACTTCTAATTCCTCCCAGGTGAAAAGCAAAGGTAAGGTAAATGCGCCCCAAGGATTAAAATCCAAAAGCTTAACTCGGTCATCATTTGTGACATATATATCAAAAGTATAACTTTCTGATTCAAAATTTCCCTTCACCTTATACATAAAAAATCTCTGGACTATTGTTATCAGCTCATCTTTCTTCTCAACAAGAGCAGGATAAAATCCAGTCACCTCGCGCTGAGAGACCCCCACAAGGATCCCATTGCGTACAAAGCAGCGAAATTCCATCTCGGGCCGCAGGGATGAGTACCATTTGCGAAGTGCAAGAAAAAACTTTGGGGGCCTTGAGACAGTCTTATCACTGCAGGAATCATACACATGGCACAGATCATGGACTAGAGAATCCGATGCCCGTAGTAAAATTGCAACCTCACTGAAAGAGTTGCAACATAGATTCCCAGTTGAACTGATCCATGCAGCATCTTTTGGTGCACTCCAATTAAGCTTAGGGAAGACAGAGCCCCCAAGGGACTCTATAGATTCCTTGATCTTCATTTCCAGTTCCGGAAAAGAAGGAGGAGGTGACGGTTGTTCTGATTCATCTTCCGATCCTTCAGATACTTCAAAGTCCTCCTCCTCTTCCGGTTTATGAATCCTATTAGGCAGTGCATCATTGTCATCAATGGAAAGGGGGAGAAGGAACGGACCATGATCATCCATAAGATACTCTATAAAGGATTCAGGCAGCTCATGAATCATTGTTTTTATGGAATCAGATTTAAATCTGGGATACCACTCCTGAATCTGGCACCTATTTACTTCTTCCTCTTTCATTTTTTTAGGAAAGCAATAAACTTTACTCTGAAACAAAACGTTAAAAAATATGAGCCAACAGAACCAAATGAATGAGGTTGCCATGATATAAATGGATTTTATGAAACAAGAGACAAGGAAAAGAACCTTTGGGGTAACAACAACTATCCTAATTAAATCTACATATGCAATCAAGTCGGTAATCCCAGCAACAACATACTCAATGAAATCCCACAAGTTGGCTCAGTGGAGTGAGATAGGAAGTATGCAAAACTTATCCTACATTCCAATTTATTGCATGATGGAATTACTCTCTTTATCAATGGCAATTTAAGGTATAAATTAGCTGATATCAAATTTTTGTGGTTGTACGTAGTTTTTTTTCCTCTTTTATCTTAACAATCCAGTCATCATAGCTAACATATCTATCTAAAAGCAGAAAACTCCGACTGAACAAATCAATCATCAGTAACTAAAATAAAATGGAAAAGAAAAAGGAGAGAGAAACTTACCGCTAGCCACTGAAAAACGCTATGCAGAAAATGGAGGAGAGCAAAGATGAAGAAACAAGGAAACAAAAGGAACGTTGGGTCTAGGGCTTTTTGTAATTGAGGGTAATGTTGGAATTACAAGAAAGTTATAAGGGAGATGACCAATTCGACTCAAGTCGGCGGCTTGGCGCTAGTACAAGTTAGCTTATTTTTTGAAAATTAAAATGATTTATTTCTCTTTATCTCTACTATTTCTACGTAAATTGAACTCACTCTTCACGTCTTTTTCCAAGATTTTCACTAAGCAACCTATTAATTCGAGATTGGGTCATAAAATTAATTCATTAATTCAAGAAGAATATTTATTTATTCTATAACAAAATAATTCCTATACTTTTTATATCCCTATAGAATCCATATGATCCCATAGACTCGTTTTAAGGATTTCATTTCAAAATAAGAAAAAAAAAGTATTTCCGCACTCCACCTTAGTCAATTCTATTCCACATAATCCCTCTTTCCAGCTAAGGAATGTGAAATCTTTCCCATGTTATATAAATCCAATTTTCATTTCACCAATAGAATCCAATATAGCACTACCGAAAGCATCACTACAAAGGTTTAATAAACCTGATTTGGGATTGCCTAGTGATTTGAGTTTGCGATTTTCACGTTGGAAGTCTCAAGTTCAAAACCTCTTGCCAGCGAAAATAAGGGATTTGTCTTCTAAGTCGAGCTCGTCACACCAGACTTTCCAGGTATGGATTATCGGATTTCCTTGTCATAAATGATAAACCTGATTCATTGAGTAGTCTTTCTGCTTTATTTACACCACTTTGACTGACGACTCCATCAAACAAAACTTTGCTAATTAACATAAAATACAATATTGTGTCATCATTTTCTACAAAACACAATATTGGTCAGTATTACTGTAAATAAAACATGATCTTTCAATGTCATTTGGGAATGGAGGTCTGCTAAAACAACAGATTCCCAACAATAAATTAGCAGGAAAAAACATGACAAAAGAAGGGGGGGAAAAGAGAGAGGAAGGATAAAATTCTGCAAACTGATTAAACTGCAACACCCCACAACATTCAAATCAATCAAATAGCATTTCTCCACCATCACCCAGCCAGCCAAAAGGGAAACTTCTTTTTCCAAAGTTACCTAAAAGAAATTGTGTGAAAGAGCTGATCATCAACTACAAGGTGAGATATCAACCCCAAAAAAGAAAAGGAAAAAATGAGCTGCAGTTACTTAGGTGCTCAAAGTAAACTAGATTAGAGTACAAATACTAGGAGACAAGCATAATAAAGAGTCTAAATCAATAGCAAACGAGAACTTCTAGAGTATGTAGTATGCACTGGCTCCATTGAGATGTTTGTGGATTACCAATCAAAATGACCATGCCACTATTTCAATATCAATCATATAAACCATAACTTCATCTTCCATGGGCACTTCCACTAACAAAGGTCATCGAGAACCATTCACAAAAATAAGAAAAACACTAGTAAGTTCATCCTTCTTTAAAACTCTGCTTTGCAAGGCAATCAAACCTCATCCCAACGATGTTGAATGAATGCAATCCTATAGGTCAACCTACAAATCAATAAAACAGATTTCAGAAAATTTTGAGGATGAAGTTTCAGTCATGAACACAGAATAATGCAGCTAAGCTATCTGCTTTAATCTTACCCACTTTCAAGGGACAAAATTGAAATGGAAGAAAACAGTAGTGCAATCAAGAAAAGGAGCAAACGGGACATACTCCCTCTCATGGTTAGCAGAAGATCGAAGGTGAGGGTGGAAGGCAAACATCCATACTTCTACAAGCTGCCTTTGGATGTTGAGTGACAGAATATTTCAAGAACTTAATTCTCTATCTGGTTCATGTAAATCATAGCTCTAAATTAAAATCAGGACACGAGATAAGGATCTCAATCCAAAAGCCATTAACAAGCTAATTGCCCGTTTCACGTTTCAAACCCACAGGTATCCCTTTAAATCCAAACCTAGAAACTTAGATCAGCAATTATGAAGTAATCTAAAGGATCTGAAAAATTCCCAAACATGTGTATTCAGGAAAATCTATTGTGACCAACTTGTCTAAATTTTTGAGAAATTTAAGAGAGTGAGCACACTGTAAGGGATTAACGGAAGCTTTTATGCGCACAAGGCTTATTTAGAGAACTAATCACAATTACAGAAGGAATAATTATGTATAACTAATTCTTGGCATTAAGAAAAATAAATTATATCAAAAGTAAACACACTTTTCACCTTGAACAAGTCTCCTTTATTTCCATTTGTTCTAAGAAAAATTACTTTGCATTCCAAGAAACTTCTTAGTTTGTCCAAGACCTATTGCAGAAAACCTCTAGTATTAGGGAATAGTAATTTCTCTTAATACCATGAACAATTGAAAATTGGATCTAAATGGCATAGAATGGATATTGATGATTCCAACTACCTAAAACAACTAGTTCAGGAACGAGGTGCAGTAATAGTATAGTGGTTGTTGCATGGTTATATCCATTCTATCCGTAAGTAAGTGGCCTATTTCATTTTTGATAATAAACAAGGTGATCTTTGACTATACCATCAGTGTATGAAGTCAGTAAATGTCATGAATTTGCTAGATTTCCTAAATTAAAGTAGTTAATTTCAAAGGAAAAAAAATATTCATAAGGTAACTTTGAAAAGAAGGTAGCATGGAAGCGAGAAAATGGAATGGGGGAAAAAGTCAATAGGAGGTGGACTATAATTACACGTCTTTTTTTGCTAACGTCCGCTACCAGAAACACAGAGATCCCCTCACTCCCTTATTTTTCTAAAATATTGATAAAATATGAACTAACTTTTGAGTCAAGAATTATTGAACACGATCTTTCTATTTTATAAAGATAAAGATAGAATCTATGTACTTTTTATTTTTCTTCAATCTCACTTATAAAATTATATTAACTATTATACTGCTGTATAAATCTATAATAGAGGCTCATTCATGGTTTTAAATTTTCTAGGTTTAATTTTAAACATTATGCATTGAATTCATTACATTATTAGAATTCTTGGTTTGATAATATAGATAATTTTTTTAACTGATCAGTATATCTTGTTGTGAAAGGTTATTTGCCAGAGCTTTTTTTTGAAACCCCAAGATAATCTATAGCCGTTACAACTTCTGCCGCAGTCTTCGCTCTTTGAGTGAGCACTATGTGCACATTGGGTAAACCCCCCTTAGGTTACTAATTTTACTTGATAATCATTAAAACTGACCTGATAAAGGAAAACTTTTTAACAATATCAGTACAAATAAGTTAAATTTAGAACAGAACGAGGACAGAAACGAAGTACTTCAATAATAGCCATTCACTTTGTTTTCACGAACTTACTCAAGTACCCTTTTACTACTACTACTATATACATATCAATATTATCATCTATGTAACAGAGTGAACCAGAACACTTTTCTTTTTTTCTGCCGTACACTTCTCCATCCCTTGCTGTCTTTTTGGTCACCAACACAACTTCTCTAGTAGTTGGTTTACCTCTTCCTCTTTCTTCTTATGTATATAGTAGTATTATGTTGTAATCATGAATAATCAGTTCAAGAAATGATGACGTTCTCAGAGCAGTACTATTCTTTCTGATCATTTGGGGTCTTTTTCTTTCTTTTGTGTCCTTCATTTGGTCTCAACATAGATGGAACTCTCTTGTTTTTTTTTAAATGACAAGGAAAACCTGCAGACACTATCCTTTGGGTGCGCACAGGGTAAAAACCCCGCTCTGCAATAGCTTGCAAACCACATAGGAGAGGTAATTCTCTGGCAAGGGGTTTCGAACTTGAGACTCCAACCTGGAAGTCCCAAGCTCAAATCACTGGGCCACCCCGAAGGATTCGGAACTCTCTTGTTGTCTTTCAAATACTCTGTTCTTGATGACCCTTTATTAATTCTTGATAATTGGGACTATAATGATGCAACTCCATGTTTATGGACTGGTGTAACTTGTGCACCAGACATGTCTAGAATCATTAGTTTAGTATTCCCAATTCCCAAATTCTAAGCTTATTGGTTCTGTTCCAGAAGAATTAGGCTTTATTCAACATCTTCATACTATTAAACTTCCAAATAGTTTCTTGAATGGAACACTTCCTGTTTCACTTCTCAATGCTTCTGAACTTCAAGTTCTTTAACTGTCGAACAATGCTATTTCTGGTGAGCTAACTGAGTCTATTGGATGGTTGAAGAGCTTAAAGGTTCTAAATCTTTCTGTCAATGCATTTGTAGGAAATCTCCCACAAAAGCTAAGTTCTTTGCAGAATCTAAAAGTTGTTCCTTTGAGGAAAAACCTATTTTCTGGTGCAGTACCAAGTCGATTTCAGTTTGTTGAAGTGTTGGATCTTACTTCTAACTTGTTGAATGGAACATTGCCTGATGATTTTGGTGGTGATAGTTTGAAATACTTGTGAACTTATCTTCAAACAAGTAATCTGGTTTAGTATCACCAGATTTGACAAGAAAATACCAGCAATGCTACAATTGATCTTTCTTTCAACAGCCTTACAGGTCCTAGAGTCAATAGCCTTACCAAACCAGATAACAGAGCTTTTTTAGGAGGAAATACAGATCTTTGTGGCAACTAGCAAACCACTCAACAAACTTTGTACAATCCCTTCAAGACCTTCATCTCCACCTAATATAACCACTAATCATCCAGCAATTCCAGCCATTCCAAAAGCAATTAACTCAACCCCACTTCCTGAACAAAAAAAATGTTGTTGGCAAACTATGATCTAACATAAGTTTGTATCACAACTGATTGCCTCTTCATCACATTTATGAACATGTGATAATTAGAGACTTACAAATAAAACATGGAGATATAGTTGACAGTTTAACAAATAACCCCACTTCAGGAAATATCAGAGAAGTCGGATGTGTAGATCCGGAAAGCTAATTCTGTTTGCCCTTTAGGCCCCAAAAGACTCTTAGTAGTTTCGCTTATTCTCTATGAGTAGATCTGGAAAGCTAATTTTGCTCTTTTCCCTATGTTTCCAAATTTCTCCCAAAATTAAGGCATCAAAAGCACATATGTTGTTCGCTCAAAAAATCTGTCTACTAATATCAATGTGCCCATAAAAGGGAAAGGTCTTTAACGAGGGAAATCATACATTGGTGATCAGGATATAGCTGCACTATTAAAAGTCTTCAGGAACCTCAAGATCCAATTATTCTTCTACTTACACAAGAAAAAGGAAAATTCATCCCATAACAAGTCGAGCAGCAAAAAAATAACTCTTGTCCTCTTGTATTAGAATATCAAGAACTTATAGTAGCACAATTGTATTTTACTTACAGATTAAAGGGCATAACATAAAGGATTCAGAGCAGAAGAACATGAAGTATTTTGATAAGCAAATGTTTTTTCTATAGTCATTTCACAAGTTAACAGAACAAAGAGATCCTGCGAAGATATGCATAGGACAGAAAGAGAAAACTGCATGTATATCTTTGTATCTGAGAGAAAGAGAAAGTAAGAGAAAGGGATGAGGTGAGACATTACAGTTTTACTGAGTCTTCTTTTCCTTATTTGAAGACCTTGAAATCTTTCTCAGTACATTATCATCAATTTTCTTGTACTGTGTCTGAATGACCTTTTGTGCTATAATAAGCTTGTCATCAATTTGATTTTGATACTTGTCGTACAGCAGAGGCACAGACAAACTAAAAAGAATTCCTGTAGGGAAGATACACAATTCAGTCAACTATAAGTCCCCAGAAACAACTTATATCACCTGAAAAGAACCCGACTCACCCATGTAGATGAAAGTGAGGAGGTTGAAGAAACTACCAACATAAGATATAAGCCACAAGACAAGAGAAACCTGATAAATCAATCCATATTAATAAGATGTAAATGTGAAGAAAACATGGCGCCAATTGTGTGACAAACATGATGCCTGAAATGGAGGGGGTCAAATAAAATCAGACCTTAACAAATAGTTTTAAATTCCCACCAATAGCAATATCATGGGCAATCATCAGGACATGATTGATCCAAACACGCATCATGTCAGCAGCCTTTACCACAGATTCCTCATGAACCTCCAAATCAGGGATAGGAGGTAAAGGCCTGGAATTGTACAGACAAAATTGATTCAGTATTCCATAAGAAGTCTTACTACATCATAATCATTTAAGGATCTCAATTGCTCAACACAATCAGAACAACAATTGAAATGCATGCCCCAGTAGAAATAGCAGAGAAATGCAACAGCCATAGGCAGATCTACTTCAGGTTCACCCCCTGCCTCAGTGACAAATTATCCTAACAGTAGGCTTCAATTTTCAAATACTTAAGACAAAATCAATTATCCACCAGTATTATTCCGAGAGCAACCAGAAACAATCTCGAAAAAAAAAGTTGAATTGCGTGACATGCTCTTATTACATTACCTGTTAAGAAGTGAGGCAGATTTAGCCCAGAAGAAGAGAATCACAACTAGAAGCAACATCACATTGGCAACAAAGGAAAGGACATTATATCCAGCTCGCTCAAACAAAATCCAAAGCGCAGTGGAACTGACTAGCAGAGTAACACTAGCACACCATCTCCTCCACAACAGTACATCCGCCACTGCAATTCAAATTCAACCGCTTCAAGAAAAAATTTCCTATCGAATAGTATTAATTTCCTAGAGAAGCAGAAGTTGACTATCATCGTGATCAAGTGTTACTTCAAAATCCATAGTGAATTGATGCGTTCATTGATGATTGCAATAAGGTCAATATCAAATCTGAATTTCTTTAAACGCATGAATTGGGCTATGGATGCAAATATAGAGAAAGACAATAATATACAGAAGGCAAAACGCAGACGTAGGGTGAGGAAGAAACCTGAGCCGCCACCAAGAGCATGATGTACAAAAGACTGACGATTATCTCCCATGGCGATTAGGGTTTCTGCCTAGTCTGCAACCGAAGAAGGAGGGCAGTGATGAAATCGCAGGGAAGGGCGACGACGGTAATTTTTGGTAAATCAGTTCAACTTCAAATATGCCAGTCGTACTAATGGATTAAACAATACTTAACATATAATAAATCTAAAGGACGACGAAATAAAATACTCCGATCAGAAAGAAAGACGTTATGCTAAAGGTAAAAGGTAAAGTCTAGTATTCTTTTCTTTCTTTCTAATTTTTTATTAAAACTTTTCGCTTCATAATGTTTTATGTCTAAGATTTATTGTGCATTATTTACGTGAGGTTCTTTTTTTTCTTGTCTCATTAAAAATAGACTAAATCTTACCTTTTTAGTTTCACAAATTTGGGTTCACTTTTTGTGTGAGGCATATAATAAGACGGCGTTCTAATGCAAAAATAGATACATTGCGTTGCGACTTATGTATATTAATTTTTTTCACATTTACTTTTCACAAAGTGTGCAAGAGAGTTTTTATTATTATTTCACTTATAAAAAAAAAGGTTAAAAAACCCTTGAGCTATTCGAAAATAGCTTAAATATATCTTTAAACTATATTTCGGCTCAAATATACTCTTCCCCTCAAACTATATGGTTAAAAATACCCTTCTCATTAACAATCTGTTAAACGCCACTTGAATGCCATGTGGATACCACATGACATGCCACATAAGTCAATAGAGTTCCACTCATACCACGTAAAAAATAAACATACCCCTAATTTCCCCCAATTTTCTCTATTTCCCTTAGAATTTAGAAACGATTTCACTGAAGAACATAGAACCCATTTCCCTTAGAACTTATGTATTTTGTGAAATCGTTCTAAGGAAATGGAGAAATGAGGAAAATGGGTTCTATGTTCTTCAGTGAAATCGTTTCTAAATTCTACGAAGAATGAAGAAAATAGGGGAAATTAGGGTTTAAGTTTATTAGTCTACGTGGCATGAGTGGAACTCTATTGACTTATGTGGCATGTCATGTGACATCCACGTGGCATCTAAGTGGCATTTAACCAATTCTGTTAATGAGAAAGGTATTTTTGACCCAATAATTTGACGATAAAGATAATATTTGAGCCGAAATATACTTCAAGAGTATATTTGAGCTTGAGCTATTTTTAATAGTTCAATGGTATTTTTGACCCTTTTTTCGTTTCACTTATGCTCCTAGAAAAGAAAGGATGCAAATTAGGTGTTGGTTTCTTAAATTGTACGCAAAAGAGAGTGATGTCCACCACCAAACCAACTGCCAGTGATGTGGTCCAATGATTCAACTATAACTTCCAAGTAAATTATAGGTTTGGGGCCTCCCAAAGTCTAACATTTACCATTAGAGTAGATGACGCCTTATTATGCTGACAATGGTAATGTAAAATAGTGTTAGCAGCGTCCATTGACCATCTAGATTTACGAATCAAAGTTTCAAGCCCCACAAATTCTAGAGGACAGTCTTTTTCAACAAAAATAAGACGAAACGAAACGGAGTTAAACATTTTCGATTTCAAAAAGCTGTTCATAAAGTTACTTATGTTACATGATCTCAAGTTTTCGAACTCTATAGCTCCTGATCCAATGCATCAGGGCAGTGCATAATAAATTTGAAGCTAGTCACCTCTCCCTCCTTATTGGTGGTCGGAGTCGGCTTCGTCATCATCGGATGACTCTTCCCTACGGGTTTCTTCTCCGCCTGCACCAGAATTAATCTTTTTCTCCTTCTTCCTCTGCTTTTTCTTCTGTCGCCTTGCACGTTTCTTTGCTGTCCGCTCTTCCGCAGCTTTTACTTTTTCTTCTCTTCTCAAGTTGAATTCAGCAACTTCTTTCCTTCTCTGGTAGTCAACATCCATCCTTGCAAGTCGATCTTGTTCTCTCCGTCTCATCTGCCGATACTGCAAACAATACCAAGAAAATGTTATTTCTGACACTTGACGCTGTCTACTTATTCTTTAAACCTAGATGTAACCTGATCATAGCAAATCACTTCTGAGTAACACCACACACCTTTCAACAGATTGAAACAAATGACGAATAACCAAAATGCAGTAAATACCAATGTTGAATTACATTTTTCAATAGACATATTGAACAAATATAGGATGAATATTCTAGGTTATGGATCACGACTAAGAAAAAGGAAGAACTTTGTCCACTTGTATGTATTTGCCATGGTTCATATCATACAAAACATATATGCACATATAAAGAGACCTTGAATACTACTCGAGCATTTGAACTCAAAGCAGCACTACGAGTCACTAAAGTGAACATACGTCATAATTATGGCAGTCTACCTCAATGCACTTTGCCCATGATCTTCACTAAAAATGTTCGTCAGTAAGGATATATCTGATTCTTTAGACAATTTATATATGCAACACCTCTGATAAACAACAAGCACCTTATGCATCCTCAATCAATGCACATTGCACACCACCACCACTCCTAGAGTGCTATCTTTTTGGCATTCCCTTTCTTCACAAAGCAAGCAATATACAAGGGATGACTATTCTGCTCTTTAAGTATTGCCTTTGCAATCTCTTGCTCTCTTGTGCCGATTCTCTAGAGGCCAGACCTCAACCACTTCCATCTCCATCCTACTACTTCAGCTATTGCTTTATTAGTTCAAACAGTCACAATCTGCAAACAGGTTCCTTGGAAACTTTACCTATTAAAAAAAGGTTCTTCGAAAACTTTTGCTCAAGAAACTAACTATATTGCCAGCCAAAGACTAATGGTTGAAAATTAAACTCGACAAGAGAAGTCAGTTCCGGGGACAATAGTAAAGTAGCCAGAAGACATTTCAAACCATAGTTAGACTCCAATGTGCCACTAAACTATTAATAACGCAGAAAAAGTGATGTTGGTATTGGAAGCATCCCTGTGAAGCTGTCGGTGTTGAAAAACAAGTCATTGCTTCTGCGGAAAATTATGGCCCTCCTGTCCGCCGCGGCTAATCTAGCAGGTCAAGCCAAGTGCTTCGTTCTTCCTAGTTGAAGTAGTAGTAAAGTGAGGGCAGAAGAGGGTTATGCCAAAGTGGTGAACACGACTACTACTTTTTGGCTTTTTCCTCCATAAGATTAGCCCAGAATATGCGAACTGATGGGTTATAAAGAGCACCTAGACCCTCTAAGGTAGGCAGCATAAACACCATCAGGCTATCTAAAACTAATCTAACTTTTCATCTGAATATTCCTAGAAAATATAGCCACCATGACAAGAAGACCTATTATTGGATTCTATAGTATCACCTGAACATTGTAAGACACACTTGTGTTCAGGTTGCCAAAATTCTCGAGGAGGTTTGTGTTCAACAAAATTATATCTTTACTGCTCCACAAACATAAAATGACAACAGAAGGAGAAGGGTTTTTAATACGATGGTCGATGACAGTACAACAAAATAAGTGAATCAGTAAATAAGTAGTGTATCAGTAAGTCTCACAAGAAAATCATCTCAGTAGGAGCAGCTCAATCTAAGAGTTTTTTTTTTTAAGTCCCCTCACTATGAGCTTCCTCCTTTTTTGCTACCAGCAACCTTGGTGTTGGAGGTGAAGAGTGCTTACCACCTCAGCAACCCCCTCTTGTCTGCTCAATCTAAGAGTCAAAACCAGCAAACTGCATGATATGTTTACCTTATTGTGATTTTCAATAGATATTATACAGGTGCAGCCTGCAAATTGCTGGTTAGGCTTAAGCAGATCATCAATTTTGAACACATTTAATCGAATATTATACATCTTGCAGGCTGCACCAAACAAAAGTACTACTTATCTGATTCAATGTTTGCGACAAGAGTTGCATCATTCTCAAAACCTAAAATTAACAACTACTTCTGGTGTTCTTAATCACAACACACAGAGTCTAAACTCAACTAATTTCCCCTCAACATCTGTTAAACCGAATAAATTCCAACTTACAAAGCACACTAACATGATTACATAGCAGGAAATAATCAACTGCTCGAAAAATGCAATATTAACAGTTAACAACAGAGCAGAAATCAAATTAGGGCACAACAACCAACCAGAATAGAAGAGCGGTACCTGATGAAAGTCGCCCGAGCCAGAACCAGCAGAACTTCCAGACGTATTGCTAACCCGTACAGGCACACATTCAAGTATACGCCGGAGCTTAATCTCAAGATCCTCCTCTTCAGGATTAGCCGCAGGTGGCGTGTATTCCACTAGAGCCGTGGAAGAAGAAGCCGGAGGACGAGGAGGTAGAGCAGCCACCTGCCTCCCCGACGCAGCAACAATCTGTAAATCTCCGGCTGCGACGGCCGTTGATCGACCCGACGATGACATCTTCGTGGCCCAAAGAAGAGCTTCTTACCTTCACCTTCGTACTCGGGGAAGAATAAATAGGCTATAAGGGATGTTACCTGTTGCGAACTGAGAGAACTCTTTTCTAGGGTACCGGGGCTTCGCCGTCGACTATGATTGCCTGGACCTGGAAGACGATTAACCTTTTAGGGCAATATACCCCTAAATTTTATCAGAATTCATCTAAGTAAAGTTTTAAATATAGTACCTCTTGTTTTTTTTTTAATTAAAAAGGCCAAATACTACTCAAATTTGGTTTGAAATATTAGGCAATTCTATAATTATTATATTTACTTCCTAGTTCATACTTCAAAAAAAAATTAGTAAGTCACCTGATCGAAAATAAATTATTTATAAATTAACTATTTTAGATAATTTATCTCATTATGCATATATAGAATAACTAATTTTATTATTATGATATAATTATTGAGATAAGTTATTTCAAATATGACAATTAAATAAGATATAAAAAGTTTATCCCATTTGTATACATATTTAATAACTCATCGAATAATAGAACTGACTAATCCTAAGTCAAAAGATCGAAAAACTCAACCCCACTATCATATACGTAGAGAATAATTTTTATTTTTTAATAAATAACTTATCTCAAAATAATTAATATTAAAATAATTTGTTGTCTAAGTAAATATTTTTTATTTATGTATACTTAATCTCTAATCATTAAAACACTTTGATGTTTACCTCAAAATTAAAATTAACAAAATAAAGTGTGTATTTCATTGATTGATATGATAAAGAGACTAGTAAAAATAAATGCAAATTCTATCTTAATATTTCTAATACTTATTTTGTCATATTAATAGAAAATGCTTAAACAGACTCAACTTCTCTAAAATTTACTATTCAATGAGTATTAGTTT